AGAGAGAGAGAGAGAGAGAGAGAGAGAGAGAGAGAGAGAGAGAGAGTGAGTTTGTGGGGTATGTGTGTTAATAGGCACTTTAGAGATTCTCTTAATGTGGTCAGTATACCAGCATTTATGGTCAGGAGTGTTCAGAGGTTGGTTTCTTCATGACTTAGCAGAAGCTTCCCTGTACAAACTCCCCCAGATGTTCTGAACCAGGGTCAGGAAATTCTTTAGGGGACGAGAGGGAACTTAAGTCATTCTTCGAGAAAAAGATCCCCCATCTGTAACCAGGTGGCTCCAAGCTGGAGTTGGCCATCAGACATGTTCAGCAACAATCTGATCCTTACTGATCAACCAGCATTTTATGTCTCATATTTCTCATGGCTACTCAGAGAGTCTTTGTGCTGTTGCCTAGATTATTTCACTTGGTGGAGAAATTTGCTAGTTAATCAGTTTCCCCATTGAAGATTGTATTCTTGAGCCCCACCCACCTTTTGCTGTCCGCCGTCCCAGACCTCATCTCAGCTCCTCCAAGAACGTGTTTCCTTCCTTTTCTTCCATTGCCTACAGAACACTGAGCTTAAATACCAATGCCCTGGCTCATAAAGCTTATTGTTTTTAAATAAAGAGAGGCCCTCTTCTCACACATTCAACTTCAATACAAGTAACACGGATTGCCTGTTATCGGCTAAAAGCTGAATCTGCTTAAATATTGTAATAGTTACTGTCTCCCATTGCTGTGATAAAAGCAACGTCTCAAGCCCACAGCTGGAGGGCACAGTACCCAGCAGCGGGGAAGCTGTGGCAGCAGAATAGATCTAGCTGAGGTGGCAGGAGAGAGGCAGCTGGTGACATTTCATGGGCAGTACAGAAGCAGAAAGAGATGGATGTTTGTGTGTAGCTCTTCCTTTTTTTCCTGTCCAGGACCATAGTCTGTGGGGTGGTACAATGCACATCCAGGGAAACACCTTCTATCTCATTGAAACCTCTCTGGAAACAGCCTGAAGACCAGCCCACAGGTTCATCTCCTAGGTGATCCTTGATCCTGTCATGTTGTCAATGGAGATTAACCGTCACATACATGAATTGCTTCTTTGAAGAACATGTTGAATAATGGTCTGAGTTGTGTCCTTTCCAAGTCATTCCTTGGAGCCATATCCTGTAACGTGGTTGTGTTTAGAGACAGGGCTTATAGGGAGGTGATTTTGTTGAATAAGGTCATAAGGTCATGAGGGTGGGTCCCCCATCAGACAGGCTTATTGTCCTGCAATAATATGGAGTGACATCAGAGATCTCAAGCACAGAAGAAAGGTCCTATGAGAATCTAATCAGGACCAGGCTGCAAGCCAAGGAGATAGGCTTCTGTGGAAACCAGGTCCTGTGGCTCCATGGTCTTAGCCATCGCCTACAGAACTATGAGGAAATACTCCATTGTTAGGAGCCTCCTACTATGTGGTTTTCCAAAGACAGCCTAATTAGACTAAGGCAGTCAATAATGAGATTGGTCTCTAATCAATATTGATGTGTTAAGTATAATGAGCATTGTTGGCCATTTCAAAGATCCATAAGAAAAACGGGGTTTATGTCATTTGTCAATTTTTTTTTTTTTACAAATTTCGATACTTTAAAACGCATTCCATTTACTGAGTTCTGTAACTACAGTGACATAATAATTTAGAAATCAGAAATAGTTTGTAATATTGCTTACAAGTGAATTTTATCATGAAAACTCATTCCTCTTCTCTCTCTTCCTATTACCGTCTTGCTATGTCAAGCTGGTCTCAAATGATTAATCCTCTTGTTTAATTCCAAGTGCTGGAATTACGGGCCTGTAATAAAAACTTCACACCCCACCTAGCCTTTTAATAATAGTATTACTTAGCCATTGTGATCTATGGCTTTCACTTACTTACCAGTATTTACCTAAATAATAACTCTGATTAATTAGCTTAGGTTTTAGGTTGTGAAACAACTCATTAAATGACCACCTATGAGTTTACAACTTTCTCTTAACATATAAATTGCAAACATAATTTGTGCAAATATTCTTTTACACAGAGAGGTGCATGGTCTTTATTTCATTAGTTTAAAATGTACTTCTTTCTCAGTACTCCTAGCTAAGCATTGGAACATTCAACATTTTATATGCCCTACGCTAACCCACTTATTCTCTGCCATACATAGCTTGATTAAATTGTATTAACAAACTTTATTCAGAAAGAATGATAAAATTTGCAACTACTTGATCTTTATGGCATCTCAATACTAGCTATTCAGCTAAGAAAAAGCATTCTTGTAATACCGGGCAAGACCTTTAGGTGGCAGTAGCTCTGCATGGGACCATTTTCCGTTTTGTTTGTGCTCTTTAGATCTTAACATTTCTTAATTAAAAACCATTTAATCTTGGGGACTCTGGTTCTGATATTGCAACAAAAAGAGAAACTTAGAAATTTCACTGAGGATTTTGTGTTTGTGCTTACTTTTGATGGTGGAGTTTAAAATGTGAAATGAGCCTATCTTGAGGAGAGAGATAAAACATTAAAAGACAGAACTGTGTTTCAAAAGGATCCCAAAGGGTGAAGCGATTGATTGAAAGGCAAACATTAAGTTTTACTTGTAGGTTCAAGTGACCAACTTTAACACCATAGTGCAGAATCTTGACTTATT